AAAGTTTGAATAAAATAAAACAGAATGAGCATAACCGCCATGATACGCTCATTAAAAAACATAACATTCGTAGTAATCAACTGATATTATCCTCAGAAAAATTCACCACAGAAGTACAATAATTGAGACGGTTCTAGACTTCTATGTGTATTATATAAACTACCGTGAATCTGTAATTATGTTACAAAACCTCATATGCACTACTTATGAAGAACCACATACAAATGAAAGCATGAATGTATTTTGTTTGATGGCGAAAAGTTCGAAGTTTGTTTAGTTGCCCGCGTCATCCGCATGACAGACTTGCATGAACCTTGATCTTTCGTTAGTCGTTGTGGCGTGAACGAGTTTGACAATTTGTTCTGTCGTTTGGAGGATATCCGCCGTCACCACTCAGATACAGCTAAAATCAGCCAATCACAACAAACGTTGAATGTCACTGTTAACCAATGACAATCGTCAATTGCACTTTCATCAATAGTCTCGTACTGAAAGCTTTATTATGTATGGTAGAAGAAACTCAACCGCAATGAAGACACTCTGTAGAAAGAATGCGCCACATATCCAGCAGGACAAAGCTCCTTGTCATTTCTGACTCAAATGGCAGAGGATTGCACCGTCATTAGACGCAAGAAAGTGTGCTGAAGCCATGGGAAGTACAAGTTGTACTTCTCCCCGGCATGGCAATTGCCCGTTTTAAAAGTGGCTGAAGACGCAGTGGCTGAGGAAAAGAAATTCTCTACAAACCATTGCCCTCCACTTGGGTGGCAACAACAGTGTCGCTTGCTCGTTGCACTAAAGGACGCCCTGCAAAAACTTCACAGGGGAATTCTCAACATAACTTGGGTACTGTCTGGGCTGCTGACTAGACCAGGTCCTGGTTTCGCCTTGGAACAAACTCAGCCACGCCAAATCATGGTCAGGTAGGTCAACAGACAGTGTGCCAAGTTATGTCACGCTGAGGCACCTCGCCCCCGTAAACTTCCAGAGGGTGTCATTTTTTGCAATCACACGCGCCTCTTCTTGTCCGGTAACGCGAACATCAAGGTGCATCTGTTTGCCGATGACGGTGTCCACCTCAACGAGGAGGGCAAGAAGGTGCTGGCAAAGGTACTGGTGAGATCTTCTGCTTACCAGCGGCAGTGAATTCCTCGAAAAAAAACCCAAACCAAACCAAACGGCCTTTTTCAGGGCCACCACATCCTTCAAAAAGGAAACTACCGTAAATTGTTGCACACATACAACATATATCACAGTTGCACTGCGTTATAATTAAATTGAATTCTGCTAAATTTGTTTAAGTGATTCTTTATTTACAGAATATGCTACAATTAACGAAAATGTCTTCAAGTTATTTGTTAAGTGGTTATTATTATCATATTATTTCATATACTTCGTTCTATGTCTACAACTAGCACACAATTCCATCCATGATACTGAGCCGCATCAACTGGCCCAATTGAATAATATGAATAAAACGAATTACTATGTCACTAACTATTACTATGTCACTAACTATATCCTTGTAAACACACACATTAAGAATAATTAGTCTTCTTGTCTGATCCATAACTGACCCTCCTCACATAGATGGTGTTCCGAGATTAGTGAGCATGAAGCATGCTGGGAGCGAGCACTCACGATGCAGTGGCCAAGCAGGGGCAGTGATATGTGTGTGTGCATATACATACGCTGACTAATGTATGGCTGGACACTCATGGTTAATAAAATAGCAAACTTGAGTAATTGTACTAATGTGATTAAACATTACACATGTGCATATATTTAGCATTTGGATGACTAATTGGCCATACATACAGAATAATCTGGTGGTGTGTAGCCCAATCAGTTCTTCTTGCCTCAGTAGCCACACAGAACTAATACGGCATAGCAGATTACATGTTCCATGCATGTCACAGCTATTTCGTGGTATAGACGAAAAATTAAACATCTGCAAAATGAGCAAACGTCAGATTGTTTGACCCAATTTCACCAATCATGGTTACTGACATCTGTGTATAATGAAAATTATCTATTGGATGTACATATTGAATGAATATTGACCTTCACTACCAAACAAAATCAAAGAACTTTTAGACATGTTCTGGTGGTATTGGAGACATGTAATTGATATAGAATTGAAAATGCAATATCATAAGGCTGCCTGGTCTACTACATGCTATATGACGCTTAAATATACACCAAGCCAATCATTGAACCACCCACTCGATCACCCAATCCATTCACCAAACCAAAAACAACCACCCTTCTAGTAAGTGAACAAAAACCATTGTCCACATCGATCAATCCATCAAACACCAAAATACCTGCCTCCTAAAACATGTGACATACCTGTGTGTGACTCATTTGTAATATACTCGGCATGTCTCCGTTCCAGCAAGAACTTCGGTACGAGACAAATGTAAACAACTAAAATAGTCAGTCAAGCTATATAGTTGACGATAATAGTCTTCAGATTTGTTCACGGATAATAAATATTATGATAGTACTATATACTAGATATATGTTTTACCAACCAACAACCGGAACTATACATATAAATATTAAACTACAAACTAATAATTGTTTTCATTTTACATAGATTGGCGCATGATTTTAATCATTGTTGGATCGAATTGTTAAAATCAATAATTTTGAAAGGTAAAATTCATGTAAAACACCTATTCAAGTCCTACAAATAATCGTCCTTATGTTGCACAT